ACTTTTAAAGAACGACTGTTAAGTGGAAATTGTAGAATTACTTTGCAAAATTTATGGTGATTTACGCTAGCGGCGGCAAAAGTTAGGTGTGAAGCAAAGCCAATCATGCAATCAATGACCTGAGTACTTCAAGTCCGGGCAAAAGCGTATGATCGCACGGGCCCGCCCGGTTTCAGCTTGGGTTAATATCAACCTCCACGGGCGCTTTAAAAAAATATGCAAATTTTTTGGCGGGAAAACGGTCTTGGGAACTGGACAAGCTAGGAGGCTAAAACTTTGTAGGGATATTCCCTGTGCATGTACGAGGTAAAAATTTCAAATTCAGCCGCTGGGTATGCGTTGTAATCATGTATGGGCGTACGAAACTTTTGGCGGGAGAACTGCTAACTCGGGAAGCAGGAAACCTAGAAAGCTGAAATTTTAGGAGAATGTCCCCTGTCTAAGCATAACTTAAGTATTTCAAATTTAGTCTTGAAGTATGCGTGATTCTTACTTACGAGCACCTAAGGTTTTGGCGGAAAAATTTCTCATTGAACAGCTAGGTTGCTTTTAAACAACGACCGCCAAACGAAAATTGTGCATTTACTTCATGCAAAATTTATGGTAACCTATGCTAGCGACCAGAAAAGGTGGGTGTAAAACAATAAACATTCATGCAATTAATTACCTGAGTACTTCATGTCTGGTGCAAAAACACGCGATCGCAAGGGCCCATCCTGTGCGTCCCTGCCTGAGTTGCAATTTGCATATGAGCAAAAACGCATAACAACATTCACTTTCCCTTTACGTGCGAACAAGTGAAAATTGGTTTAACTCCGCATCCCATGGCAGAGATTTTCTAAGCATGGCCCACAAACGAGTATATTGGTAAATGTGATAATTATAGCAATGCAGTGACATTTCTAAATTGGTGTTTACTTGAAGTATCTGCCAGAAAACATCCGCGGAGAAAATTGTGCAACAAACGCATGCTTCGCACCGGCAAGGCTGACGTGCGTCGTTCACTAAGTTGCTACTGGAGGGAATATCAGCGTTGTCAGGCCTCACTTTTCGATAGTGTTCCACTGGGCTTGCAGGCTATTTTAAGAGGTTTAGTTGTGCCACGCTTTTTATGCGTTTTTGCTGTGCAGCGCTGTAGCAGCGCTATAGCGCTGCTACAGCCAGCAAA